CTGTATATATATATATATATATATATATATATATATATATATAGTTTCTAATGGTGACAATTTCTGCAATAATTATGTTTAAGATTAAGAATAGGTGTGTATATATATACATTTAAATAAACACACACACACATACCATATTCTGTTTATTTTTTGTAACACATTAATTAGATATAAATACCTTAATATTTACATTTTTAAATCTTTTAATACTTAACACAAAGAAAGTGTTTCAGGATTATTTTCCAGGACTTTAGGACACAGCTGTCTCTACTGACCAGAACAATGTGAATCCCTCTGGATCCAGGCTTATTTCCTTTTCTCTCCACACTAAGACTGCTCCTTTTTCCTTTTCAATCCCGGGACCTCCCCTCACACCTCCCTCCTCCCTCCCTCCTCCTGTCCGCACCTCGTGTTATACTGCAGCCAATTCCTGAAATTCCAGCCTTCCTCGCGAGCTTCCAGTCACTCAGGCAGGTTTTACCCCCAAAACACTTCATTTTCCCTACTGTTCCTTCAGACAGGTAAGAATGCAAGTTATTTACATATTTCATAGTGGTATTTGTTTGTGCAATTATTTAAAAATCTAAATCTTTATGTAGAGTAACTTGTACAGCTGTACAGATCTTCTCCTCACTCACTGAAGCGGTTATTCTGACACATGATGACGAAATGTGATGTAACAATGGAATATTTGGAATTTTTCCCCGAATTCCCGCGTTCTTTTTTCTGCTCCCCCGCGTAACGGCCGGAAACTTTCTAAGGAACTTTAATCGCGTCATAGAGCGACTAAGTTCGTTAGTTATTGCGCAAATTATTGCGATTATAAACCTCAACTTTGGATTGATAAAATAGTAACAAATGTCTGCAGGTGTTTTTCTTCATATGAACCAATTTAATACGTTTGGGAAATGTGTATAATATAAAAAAATTATAATAATACAAAGAAAATGCTTACTTAATAATTGTGGAAACTTTTATTATTATTATTATTACACTCTAAAAAATGCTGGGTTGTTTCAACCCAATGTTGGGTCAAATATGGACTAACCCAACTGTTGGGTTAAATTTTGGTTACATTTTTAAATTAACTTTTTAACCCAACAGTTGGGTTAGTCCATATTTGACCCAAAATTGGGTTGAAACAACCCAGCATTTTTTTGA